AGAAAAGGGGGATGGGGAAAGTGAAATGTTTGGGGTGTTTGGGGATTGGGAGAAAAGGGGGATGGGGAAAGTGAAATGTTTGGGGTGTTTGGGATGGAGAAGAAAGGGGAGGGAAAAAAGGAGAAAAGGAGAAAAAAGGGGGGGAAGGGGAAAAAAGGAAAAAAATGGGAAAGGGGGGAAAAGGGAGAGAAAAAAGAGGGGGGAAAGGAGGATAAAAGGGGGGCAAGGAAAAAATACAGGAAACAAAAAGGGAAAAAAGGAGAGGAAAAAGGGAGAATAAGGAGGGAAAGGGAGAGGAAAAAGAGGAAGGAAACAGGGGAGAAAAATGGGGGGAAAGGGAGGGAAAAGGAAAAACAAGGGGAGGAAAAAAAAGGATGGAAAAGGGAGGAAAAAAGATGAGAAAAAATTCCCATCCATGGACTGGGAGGAGAGATGAGGATAAACAGGAATTTTTGGCTTACCTGGAATGTGATATCCAAGAAGGCCCTGGAATACAACAGAATATTTCCAGTTTTTATTCTGATTCATTTAAGGTGTTTTAGGTTTTTACTTCTATTTAATTTTATTTCAGAGGAATTTGGGATTGGTGGGGATTCCTGGAAAAACCGGAATCAAACCAAGCTCCCTCAGGAATGAATTCTGAATTTCCATCCCATTAAAAAAAAGTAAAATTAATTCAGTTTATTCCCAACCCGAGCTCCAGAATATGAAGATTTCTTGGATTTTGACTGGAATTCCGAGTTTTTCCCATTTTCCCGAGTTTTTTTCCCAGTTTTACCTTGGACAATGATGTTGCTGGACTCGTGGGAGGGGTTGAACACCAAATGTTTGGCCATGGAGTCGCCCTCAGAGGTGACGAAGAGGCAGGAGGAACATGAGAGCCTCACCCCACTGGGAAATGGGAAAAAAGAGGGAAAAATGGGGGACAAAGGAGAAAAAAGGGAAAAAGAGGGGAAAGAAAAAGGGAGGAAAATGGGAGGAGGAACAAAAGTAAATAAACTTTATGATCAGATATAAAAATGTGTCCAACCCCTCATTAATAACTAAATCATTGATAGCTAAACCATTATTATCAACTGTTTCTTGTTAGTAATTAAACTAATAATAATTAAAATACTAATAATTGAACATTAAATTATAATTATTAATAATTAAAATGTAAACTTCACCCCCAATGGGAATAGGACCCATAAATCCCCAAATCCTGGGATTTTCCCCCAGAATGAAAAAGGTCAGGAATTCCCAAGGGCTGGAATTCCCCTGGAATGGGATTTTGGGAATTTTTTCCGTACCTGGCCGTATAGTTCTTGAACAAAGCCAAATATTTGGGGCTTTTCCGGGGAACGTGGTTGCTGGAGAGGGAAAAACGTGTGAAAGTGAGGGATAAGCTGGAGAAACGGCTGTAAAATCAAAGAAAACACCCCATAAATAATAAAAAACCCCTATAAAACACTGGAAAACTGCTCAGGAGCCCAAAATTGTTCCCAAATCCCAGATTTTTCCATCCTTGATCATGTGGTTGGCATAGGCATGGAAGCAGCAGGAATTCCGGTTTTCCCCCATTTCTGCCCCATTTTTCACCTTTTTTTTTGCCGTTTTTGCTCAGTTTTCCCCCCGTTTTTCCCCAAATCCCGTTTTTTTCCCCAAATCCCCGTACTTGATCATGTGGTTGGCGTAGGCGCGGGAGCAGCAGGTGCTGTAGCGGCACAGGGAGCAGTGCACGTAGGTGGGGAAGTGGTTGGGGAAGTCGGGGATCTCGAAGCTGCACTCCAGGCACGTCTGCCGGCCCAGGCCGCTCCTGGGGCAAAAAACGGCAAAATCCGTCAAAAGCGGCACTTTGGGAGCGCCTCGGTGGGCAGGAAAGGGGACAGGAGGATTTAGGATGGCCATTTGCTACAAACAAATGATTATTTAAAACTAATCAACATTAATGAACTAATATTAAATTATCAATAGTGTCAATATTCCAGGACGGAATTCCAGCTTTAATTCCCTGTTTTCCAGCTCCACCTGTCCAAACCAACCTCAGGATTCCTGTATTTTTCCCCAGAGTGACACAATTTTCTCCCAAAATTTCCCCTATTATTCCCAGAAAATCACTGATGTTTTCCTGCCAGCTCTCTCGGGGATGCTTCACTGGCTGGGGAACCTCAAACTTCCCATTCTTTTGCCAGATTCCTGTATTTTCCCTGTTTTTCCCTCGAGTTTCCCCAAAACTCCTATTTTTTCCACGAAAAGCACTGACTTTATTTTCTGCTGGCTCTCTTGAGGATCCCATGGTGGCTGGAGAATCCCAGAATTCCTGGTTTTTCCCCAAATTTTCCCCGAAATTCCCTTTGCCCCCAAATGCCCGTTTCTGCCCGGAAAAGCGCTGACGTTTTTTTGCCGGCCCTGCGGGGGGCGTTGCGGTGGCACAGGAAGAGGGG